GGACTTAATTAAAATAAAAAAACTACTGTGCTTTAAAAAACATTGTTAAGTGAATGTAAAACCAAAACTAAGACTGAGGGAAAAAAATCTTTGCAAATCATAAATCTGATAATAGGCTTATATTCAGAATAAAGAATCAGTAATGAAACAATCCAATTTTTTTTTAATGGGCAAAAGTGTTGCACAGATACTTCACCAAATAAGATACACAAAATGGCAAAGAAACACATGAAAAGATGTACAACATCATTAGGGAAATGTATATTAAAACCATAGTTTGATACCCCTACACACCATTGGAATGGCCAAAATTAAAAGAAGTCAGACTGTACCAAGTGTTGGTGGGTATGTGAAAGATGTAGAATTCTCATAACATTGTTGGTAGAGGTATGAAATGGTATAACTAGTTTGGAAGACAGTTTGACAATTTTTTTAGAAGTTAAATATGTACCTACCATATGATCCAGCCATTCTGTTCCTAGGCATAAATGAGAGCACATGTCCCTATAAAGAATTGTACAAGAATGTTCATAGCAGTTTTATTTTTGTGGTTACTTACTATAGGAAACAACCCAAATGCTCATCAACAGGGGAATTGGCCAACAAGTGGATATCCATACAATGAAGTGTTATTCAGTTACACAACAATATGAAGCAATATATTATCAATACATATAACAATATGCATGAATTTCAAAATAATTATGCCAAGTGAAAAAAGCTAGACAAAAAAGATATATATAGTGTATGATACCATTTATATAAAAATTCTAGAAAAATGCAAACTAATGTAGAGTGTCAGATAATTAGTCAGTGGTTGACTGAGGATTGGGGGAGCGGGCAGGGATAGGGAAGGGATGTGAGGAGACTGGTGGGTGACGGATATGGTCATCATTTGATTGCAGTGATGATTTCATGGAGATATACATATATATCAAAATTTACCAAATTATATAGTTCATTACATGAATTGTACCCCAAAAGAGCCTTTCTAAGAAAAAAAAAGCAGTGAACCTTTAAGTCCACTTCAAAAATTATGCTTTCTTAAAACCCTTCATGTGGATCAGAATTACCTCAGATCCAGTAAATAACACCACTTATTGCCCCTTCCTTCTTAAAACTTTCTTTTGCCACCATTTCACTAACATTACACCCTCTGAGCTGCTCTCCCAGCCTTCGGAGGCCTTTGGTTCTCATTGCCCCTGTGTCTGGAGCGAGAGCACTCTTCAGGGGCTGCAGCTGGCTCCCATCTACCCTCATGCACACCCCTTCTGAGCAAACTTACCACCACCTTGACCGCAGGCACCATTTGTACATGAAGAGATCCCAGTCTGCATTGCAAGCCTTGTCCTCTCTCCTGAGCGCCATATTTTCACCAGTTTCCCCTTGAGTATCACCTCCAGTCTAAAGAATGCACAACCACAGATCTGCCCCCATCCAAACCTGCTGCCCAGTTGTGTTCAGGTCTCAGTTTATAGCCCTATCATCTCCCAGTCACCCAAGTAGGACATGGCATCATGGATGAGAGCATGGGCTCTGGATTCGAATCTTGGATTTGTCACTTATGACATGTATGTATCTTAGGAAAATGTTTTAACTTCTCTGTGCCTCATTCCTTCATTTATATAATGAGTCTCTTCCTCATAAGGTTAGTATGGATATTAAATAAGATAAACATAAAGGGTTTATCTAATGCCTGATACATAGTAGGTGCTCAATGATTATTAGTATCATTGGTGACATTTACTTCTCTCCACCTGATTATTTTCCACAGACTCATGTTGTCTTTGTGGCCTTTCTGCCTTCTTTCCCTTCCCTCTGCCACCCCATCTCAGACTCAGTGCCTCGTGTTGGCATGTTGAGACAGCCTATTCTGATTTCTCTTCTCCTCAGTCTGTTCTTTCCAGGGCTACCTAAAGTGCTTCCCAGGTCAGATCATGCACTTCCATAACCAAAGACCTTTGACTGTTGTCCTTGTGCAAAGAGCATAGACCTTAGCAGGCCATTTAAGAGTCTATGTGTTGTGGTTAGTCTACTTTTCTACCTTCAACTCTTAAGAAACTCTCTGGTCTGGACCCCATCTCTTTAGCTACTTTCAGCTCTCCCCATCCTCCATAAACCCTACTCTGCCCTATTGCCACGTGGTTGTTTTGAAAGGATGGCATTCCTCAGCAGCCCATCCCCAGGGTCACCTCAAACGCTGTCTTTTTAATGAACTTGGCCCAACACACTAACTGGAATTAATCAGTCTGTCTTCAGCACTTCTATCGCACTTTGTCTGTCAGTCTGGAAGCTTACTTTATTGCAACTTATATATTTGCCTGATACTCTAACTTACCCTCATGTGAGCATTCAATGAAGACTTGCTGAACGGAATGGAACAGAAAGAAAGAATGTGGCAATCTGCCTAACATCTCCCTGGTAGTGTCACCTACTCATGGAGGTTCCTTGACGACTGACACTGCAGATGAGCATTCTGTTCAAGCTGAAAGGCACCAGAGAACCATCTCTTTGGAAAGCACATAAGTGTAATAGCAGCAGCAGCACCAGTCAAGGGTTTGTGAAGTGGCAGAAGAAGAGGAAAAAGGGCATAGAATCACCTCCAGTCTAAAGAATGCACAACCACAGATCTGCCCCCATCCAAACCTGCTGCCCAGTTGTGTTCAGGTCTCAGTTTATAGCCCTATCATCTCCCAGTCACCCAAGTAGGACATGGCATCATGGATGAGAGCGTGGGCTCTGGATTCGAATCTTGGATTTGTCACTTATGACATGTATGTATCTTAGGAAAATGTTTTAACTTCTCTGTGCCTCATTCCTTCATTTATATAATGAGTCTCTTCCTCATAAGGTTAGTATGGATATTAAATAAGATAAACATAAAGGGTTTATCTAATGCCTGATACATAGTAGGTGCTCAATGATTATTAGTATCATTGGTGACATTTACTTCTCTCCACCTGATTATTTTCCACAGACTCATGTTGTCTTTGTGGCCTTTCTGCCTTCTTTCCCTTCCCTCTGCCACCCCATCTCAGACTCAGTGCCTCGTGTTGGCATGTTGAGACAGCCTATTCTGATTTCTCTTCTCCTCAGTCTGTTCTTTCCAGGGCTACCTAAAGTGCTTCCCAGGTCAGATCATGCACTTCCATAACCAAAGACCTTTGACTGTTGTCCTTGTGCAAAGAGCATAGACCTTAGCAGGCCATTTAAGAGTCTATGTGTTGTGGTTAGTCTACTTTTCTACCTTCAACTCTTAAGAAACTCTCTGGTCTGGACCCCATCTCTTTAGCTACTTTCAGCTCTCCCCATCCTCCATAAACCCTACTCTGCCCTATTGCCACGTGGTTGTTTTGAAAGGATGGCATTCCTCAGCAGCCCATCCCCAGGGTCACCTCAAACGCTGTCTTTTTAATGAACTTGGCCCAACACACTAACTGGAATTAATCAGTCTGTCTTCAGCACTTCTATCGCACTTTGTCTGTCAGTCTGGAAGCTTACTTTATTGCAACTTATATATTTGCCTGATACTCTAACTTACCCTCATGTGAGCATTCAATGAAGACTTGCTGAACGGAATGGAACAGAAAGAAAGAATGTGGCAATCTGCCTAACATCTCCCTGGTAGTGTCACCTACTCATGGAGGTTCCTTGACGACTGACACTGCAGATGAGCATTCTGTTCAAGCTGAAAGGCACCAGAGAACCATCTCTTTGGAAAGCACATAAGTGTAATAGCAGCAGCAGCACCAGTCAAGGGTTTGTGAAGTGGCAGAAGAAGAGGAAAAAGGGCATAGCGGGTCCAGATTGAATCTTGGGTATTCTAAACAACTCTTTCCTAAATGTAGGTGTCTCTCTTTTGAGAGGAAGCAGTTCATTGTGCACTGCTTAGGAATGCCAGCCAAGCACCCCAGAGACCCTCCCCGTTCTTACTAGAAGTTAGGGAGCCAGTGTTACAGCTGGAACTAAGACTGCATGACCATCAAAAACCCCTAATGAAAACACCCAGGAGGCCAGACAGCCGCAAGCCCTCGACAGACTGCCAGCCACTTGTCAAGGCAGCTGTGAGGTGGGGATGGGGCAGGTTTAGTACATGAGAAGAGGTGTAAACTCAAGAAGGTGGCTGCTGTTTCCACCCAAGACATTTCCAGTTCTTCAGGAGATCCTTTCCATAGGGAAATTTCAGTTGGTTTTGGTTTTGCAGACCAATATCTTTGAAAATTTTTCACTAAAGCAGACAATGGCAACTCAGCTTAGTCAACAAGTTGATGTCAACAGAGCATGTGGCTCTTTCTTCTCCCAGAAACCCTGTGATCACCATACAACCTGCATCACTATCCCTCAGGGCCTACCTTCTACTGCTGATGGTGGGTCACAGGAACGTGTGAGCGGAAGACAGCTGATAATGCAAGCTTATTAATGCAGCAAGCAAAGCCTGCAGAAGGGAAAGGGGCCATTCTACCATCTAGTCTGCCGTTACCACCTGCAGCCAGTACTTCTTTCTGTGTCTGAGATCTCTGCTCTCAGAGGATGGAGACTAAGACTTACCCTTCTTTGTAACCCCCGGCATCTAGTCAAGGCATTTTAGGAAGTGTTTTTATATGAAAGGAATATTGTTCCCCCTTCCTTATTATTATTTGTATCAACTATCTATGAAGGAAAATTCACTTTCTCTACACAAAAGTTCATTAGTTTATTAACATGATACGAAGTAATTTTTAGCTCTGAAATTTAGAAAACATAACATATTCATCCTATGTCTGGGAAAATACAGGTAGAATACATGCGACAATGAAGTTTGCTTGAAGGAGATACTCTTCATTCCAGGTAAACTGAATACAAAGAAACCTAGGCCTTCTGGTGTCGGTTCCCAACCCTAACAGATAAATACTCCTCTCTGGAATGGTTTGGGAGAATCACCTTTCAATTCCTCTACACTTTGTAGCTGAGTTACAGAGTAACCTGCCAGCAATCTTCTCAGAACTCATGGGCCTGTTTAAATAGAGCAAAGTCCACACAATTTCCACAGAGATGTGCTGAGCAAAGGCCAGAGTCCCAGAAGAAAACAAGTGCAGGCTCTGAGCAAAGCTGCGCTCATCCCGAGGGGCACCCCACTGGCCCGGTTGGAGGGTCAGCGTGACCGGCCATGAGCCCAGTGCTGTCGGAGTTCATGAGAGAGCTCCCCGGCTGGCTCCTGCTCTGTGGCATTTTCCTGCCCGTGACCTTGCTGCTGTTCCTTCTCATCGCCTACTTCAGGATCAAACTGATGGAGGGTAAGTGGGAAGCCATGTAAGGCAGGGTGACCAGTCCTTTCCCACACACACCTTTGGAAAGAGCCGATGCACTGTCAGTGCTTGGGAGAGGCCTAGAGCGACATATCGCTTTGATTTCTAGGTATTTCTCAACAAGCACTCTGGAGATACCATCACTGGTGAACGCTGGCCCAGTCTGGCTGCTCCTTTCAGTAGTGTGGGCTGTGTGCTGGGCTCTGAATGCTTGCTGTGAGGACCCCTTAGCTGCAGCCCCTCACAGACAGGCAAACTGTGAACCAGCCACTGTGACATGTGATTACTTGTCTCTCAGGGAAATAGATTCACAAGCATTAAAACACTTTACATGATCTGCCTCCTGTTTGACAGATAGATATGTGTATGTGCTCATGAGTGTGTGTATACACACACACACTTCTTTCTCATTCACTGAAATTCTATTAAGGAAATGTGCCAATCATTGTGCTATTACACGGTTGGGTAAACATCAAGCCCTATTAGATATTTGATGACTTGTGTAAACTCTCCATGAGATTGTAGTCTTAAGGTACCAAAAAAAAATAACAAAACCTCAAGCAGCTTGAAGTGACTTGGACATGACAGTTGGGTCCTGGATTGAAACTGTCTACTCTGCTGTATTTGAAATTAATAAAACTGAACTGTGAGTCTACAAACTATTTGTTAATAATGCACCCAGCAAACATGAGATTATGATCATAGAGGTTAACAGCCATTGCAGCACTATCAACAAAGTTGGATGGTGTCATAGTAAAGTACTAAAAAAAACAAATTTGAAAACCATTCCTCTCCCATGAAACCTTGCCAAGACCAAGCAATGCCTTCTAGAATATTATTATATAAACAGATGTTCATAGTCTAGAATAAAGAATGCCATCATTTATGACCTAAAATTGAATAGAAGTACAATTGAGGATATTTATTTGTAAGACAAGATTTAGAACATAAAGATAATCTAGAGAGTAAATTACGGAATCCTTAAGTTTCCAGTCATAACATACTCAAATATCCCCCTAGCCTTTCATTTTCTGTGTCTTGTTTTTATGAACAGCTCTCTCATCAAGTGACCCAGCTATATTCTGTCTTGCTCTACACATTTGTGTGATAAATCCTTTTCTTTATTAAGTACGTTTATCCTCCACTGCCCCAAGCCCAGTCTACTGGATGTTCTATCACTCAGCCATTGATTAAAACTGAGCTCTGGAAAAGAGCCCCTCACAAAAGAAGAGAAAATTAGAAATCTCCAAGATCCTAATTACAGTGTCCCTCTAGAGTCTTCCAAATCAGTTTAATGCCCAGTTACTGAAAACATTTACATTTTGAAAGTCTTTTAAAGCTTTTTCAATGACCACTGTCATTCACACACATGCTGGGCTCCCACTGACCCTGAGCACCTGGGGAGCAGAGAAGGATGCTAATGTCCAGTCAGGGACTTGAATAGTTCATGGCACTTCTAAGTTTCATCTCAGGCTGCCTCTACAGCCAGATAAAACTTTTAGTAGCTCAAAGATCTCCCAAGCATTAAATAAAGCAAACAACAGGCTGAGGTAATCTCATGGATTCCAAAGTGGCTTACTAGCTCTGTCCCCCAGTTGTTCTAGGTCAGATCCTTTAGTGGGGCACCTGATCTTTGGGACAGACTCTGCAAAAAGGATGAATCTTGGTTTTAATAGCTTTACTTGTCTGCAAAAAGGATGAATCTTGGTTTTAATAGCTTTACTTGTCCCTGGGTGACATTTGGGGGAAACACCTATAATATGTAAAAACTAAGTGCGTCTATAGTACATTACTCAGATATTTAGATAATTCAGATAATTATGGGTATAAACACATCAATCCCTTTCCTTCAGAATGCCCTGGGAGATTGAATTTGTCCTCCAGAGTGTGGTCTGGCAGCGGAGGGGCTGCAGGAGGAAGTGCAGGCAAAGCAGTACACACAGTTCAAGGCCCAGAGGAGGTGCTCTGTGTGTGCACATTGCTGTGACGGTGGCACAGAGGCACCGTCTGTCCCTAGCACATCCCTGCCCACGTAGATGGTCTAGAGATCAAGCCTCATCTCAACGATTATCGCCTTAAGTTTATAGCTCAATAAAGCTGGAACTGCTTCTGAAGCATTTAAGCGAATGGAGCAGGGAGCCCCAGAGAGCTGCTCTCTCCTCACACTTCCTTCTGCTTTTAAATTTCAAATTCAGATGTGCTACTGAGCTGTGCTTCACTCCTAGACTTGCTCAAACCTTGGGTCTGTTTCTTTCCTCTCAAAGCCTCCATATTTTTTTTTTTTTGCGACACAGCATTTAATCCAAGGGATAGCAAGAAGGCCAGCCTCACATGATGAGGACTGACACTCTGGGTAGAGTCCTTTCATGAATTTTGAGGCTCAGTGCAAACTTGCACCCTACTTCTGAATGGCAGAGTTTCCATACATTCATTCAACAAATATTTGAGATTCTACCACATACCAAGGATTGTCCTAGACACTAGAACAGATTTCTTACTCTGGGCTTTCAGGGCTGAAAGAAAACAATCCCAGTTCTAGAAAATCACAGAAGGAAGCTGGCAAAATCATTAGCAGCCAGAGGAGAGACAACACAAATCTGTTTCTGGCTTTGACCTCATAGATGTCTGGTCAGATAGGTCAGCTTTCAAAAGGCCAGCTCAAGAATGACCTGCCCTTTGCTCCTTAAGTCTGGTCTCAAAGTTAGCACAGAACACCCCTGCTGCCGGAGGCAGGACCCTCTAAACAGCTAAGGGCACCCCGGGTGATGTGTGAGCCTCCACGCTCTGGGGCTCTTCTCCACCATCTCCTACTTTTGTTGGCCCTCCTGAAGTGTGCCTAGAGCTTCCTGGCCGCAGGGAAGGAGTTGAGTACAGAAGAGTGAGAAGTGGAAAGAGCCAACAAGAAGCTGGGCACCGACCTCTTAATGCAGCATGAGTCGCAGCTGAAGTTCATCCTTGGAAAGAGTACTAATGCCTACTAGCGCCGTGGTGCTGGCAGCCAGCCGGTGACTATCTGCAGGACGCCGAGAGGAGTGCCCAGCTGGCTGCACCCAAGCAATCTTCCCTGATGTCAGTTTTCATTGTTGAGGCTGGATCACAAGTAAGGTGGGGTGAGGCAAGTGGGGGCCACGGGTGCTCTCTGGTGCCTGGACAGGAGGGCAGCTGGGGGGCAGCCTGTTTCTCTCTCAAGGATTTTCTATTCAAACCATTCCCTCCTCTCCCAGATGGAATCTGTGCACCTTTTTTTGGAGTAATTCTTTATTTGTAGTATTTTTGGTATTTGTAGTAATATCTTCTCTCCAGTTTGAGGGAAAATGAGATTACTTGGCCCCAAATAAAATATCACCAGTTTGTATCTCTGTTTAGCAGCTCCCACTTAAAATCTGTAAACAGATGGTCAATTACCCATGTCATTCATCTTTGGACAGGATTATGGCAAGTGCAATCATTTCTGTTTGATTCCTATAAAGAAAGGGACACTGACAGATTAACTGGTGTGTTCACAGAACCTGAGAGGTCTGCATTCTAAAACAGAAAATCAGCTCACCTGCCTCATACATCCTAGTCCATCAGACAGGAGAGGCATTTTAAGATGTGATGGAGAGCATGTGGACGTACTGTAATCATTCAACATTAATTCCTACGTTTCAAGGCTTTGGAGGTAATGGTGCATGTAAATTTAGTTAGTGTGGAGGGAACATCAATTTCCTCACAAAGGAAGAAAGGAAATTCTCTAACATCCTGCACTCTTCAATCTGTGTCAGTTGCCTTGAGGAGTAAGAGTAATTGTTAAGAGCTCAGACTATGAGTCAAACCAAATGGGGTTCAAATTCCACATCTGCAGCAATGGCCACTCAAACCCTGAAGCTTCAGTTTCTTCATCTGTAAAATGGAAATAATAGCAGGACAGGGTTGGTATGGGGCTATAGGGTTGGTATGGGGCTTAAGTGAAGTGATACCCATATAGGGTTCTTAGCAGCCTGTTCTGAGCATCTATTAGTCATTATCACCCCTGCTGGCTTATACATTCTAAAAAGGCTGTGTTTGTGTCACTCTAATAATAGATATCTAATATATATATTGTAATAATTAATTGCTCAAGGTCAAAAGTTGGTGTTCAATTGATATTTGTTGAATAGATGAATCCTTTCAGCTCAGGCAAATAAACTTACCACCAATATGAGAGGCAACTACGGGAAAATTTTAAACAAAGCAAGAATTTTATAGAAGCCTTGAAAAGATTTGATCAGTCTCTTCATGGAACACGAGTAATGACTGATGGTGGTGATTCTTCAGTATAAAAACTTAGCCCTGGCTCAAGGAGATTGCATTTCTTTACCTGTGGTCTAATGGGGAAAACTTCATTGCCTGAAGAATTTTCCACAACAGACTCAGAGGCTTTTGAGGCCACCTGCCTAAGCTCACCTGTCTAATCTCTCTTTGCATTCTCCTTAATAGACCCAGTGAAATAAAGTGATGCCAAGTTCTAAACTCTTTCAGAAGGGTAACTGATTTCTCTTTCTCTCTGCATCATACCTGGCAAAGGTGCTGTATTTACTGGATAGATAACTCACTGTAGATTGATGAGCTTCCTCTTGATTTATTCTAGTTCTCTTCTTTCAATCTCATTATTTAGATCACCCATTTTCAGCTCTACAGTTTATTTCTTGGTTCCTCATTCAAAGCTCTTCTGCAGTTGGTCTTTGATAATTACGAATAAAAGGTACTGAAAGAAATTACCCATATTTCAATGAGTTTATTATCTAAGCCATAGGCCATCTTAAGCAATACTTTTGAACTAGCAGCGATATATGTGGAAAGGCAGTGTAACTGAGTAGTTGGGAGTGTGGACTCTGGACTCAGACGGCCTGGGATCAAATCCTGAATCCATCAATTTCTGTGATCTTGGGAAAATTGCTTCATCTTGATTTTACTTTGGCTCAGTTTGCTTATCTATAAAACAATAACAATGGTGACTACGACCTAATTCATTGTGAGAACTAAATGTGAGAAGGCAAGCTAAGGGCTTCACACTGTGTTTAGCACATGCAAGTGCTCAGCAAATACTAGCTACCAAATCTTGAGGCTCATAGCCTTGGGCCTGTCACCATCTAATGCACATGAAACATCTCCCAACTAAGATGACAAACAGTTGTGGGGGACTGGAAGAATTTAGGTCAGGGAGAGTGCATGTGTCCTGGGTTACGTGGCATTACGGTGACTGGCACAGGGTAAATTGCTCAGATCTGATGTGGGAGCTAAAAAGACCATTTTTAGATTCAATTTTATAAACATGTACTATCTCCCATGATATTATAAGCTCTTTATCTCTGACTTGATTTGATTATAATTCTAAAAATAAAGCTTTAAAGAATAAGAGCAGGTTCAGTTGTGTGCTGGTAGCAGTAAGGAAGAGAGTGTACATTTTTTTTTTGTCCCCAGAAGATCTCTAGGTACACTTGCTGGAATTTCAAGAGAGATCTCAGGGCTAAAGATCAAATTTGTTTTTGCCAGAGAGGTAACAGTGAGACACCACAGGAGAAGATAAGAACACCAGAAAGGTGGTACATAGTAACAGCCAAAGGGAGGGAAATGACTGGGGCCTGGGGTGGGGAGTGTCAAATGCTAAAGAAGGAAACTGGAAACTGAGAAATCTCACCAGATTTAGTAATTAGGATGTCATTGATGAGTTTTGAAATTTCAGTAAAGTAGCTTTAACTGAAGTTACATTTCAAGGTGTTAAGGGATATATGGGTGATAAAAAACCCAACTGTCAGTTTTCTGTGAAAGATGCCAAAAGATAAAAGGGAGACAACAAATTTGACCTATCTAAAGACTATAAATGCCTAAACACATTTTGGGGTGGGGAGCAAGAACAGAAAATAAGATAGTATTTCCGGTCTGTAGGCATGCTTAATAAATGCTTATTTGATGCTTGTGTGTTGGATTGGGGGAGGGGAGGTCTTAAATTTAATCAACACTTAATCTGCTAAATATAAAATAAAGTTAGCATGTAACAATTTTTTTTACAGTGGTACTTTGTCCACTATAACCGAGACCATTACCAATAAGCATTTACATTTCTCTTGCAAGTGGTTGAGGAGGTAAAGAGATCCTACAGTAGGACTTGCACAGAAGAGCAGGGCTTCTGTGACTTGCTGAGGCCACCATTGTAGAAATGCTGGCCAGTAACCATCTCTGAGTTGTAAATGAACAATGGCACTCAGCTGCCTCTGAAGTATCAACTGATGTTTTTCCTTTCAGTGAATGAAGAGCTGTCCCAGACCCCTCAACACCAGCACAGTCACAAGGCTGGCTCTTCCCTGCACCAGAAAACGAAGTGAAGTGACTACCAGAGACGGTCAATGGCTAGACCACAGCACATTTCTACCAGTCAGAGAGCAAAGGTCAATGGCTGAGCTAATAAAGTAGGTTAATAAACTAGAACCACAGCAAAAATGGGAAGAATACTAGATGCTTGCTCTGAACCATACTGAAAAGTGGCAGCTATTATCCAACAGGACATCTCTGAGACTCAGCTTAAATAACAGTTCTTCAGAAGAGTACCAAACATGTAAGATTTTCTTAGATATGCTCTATGGACTGGATCCACTGTAACTTTAACTTTTTTAGGACTACGCTCACTCTGAAGGGAATTATTTTTAAAATTCTTAAGCATCCTCATTACATAATCCCGTGGAAGCCCACGTTGTCCATACCAGACCTCTCTAGTAGAGAGCAAGTGGATGGCAAAAGATGAGTGTCTTGAGAGCTCTGTGGATTCCCCGTGTGTTTTCACATCCTCCTCTCGCAGTTTGGAGACTCTTAAATGACACCTCTTCAGGCACCATTCTGGCTCCAAGTTTACTTCTCTCCTTTTCCCAGTTGCTTTCACAAATCGACCACCATTGTGAAAAACAACCCGCAGAACAAGCGGAGTCCCTCGGATCCAGGGACGAACCACCCAGGAATGTAGCTTTCAGCATGATGTGACTTGGAACTACTGGCAATTTGGTGCTGGGAAAAAGAAAGAACAGAATGTTCATGTAAATCACGTGGAAAATAATTCAAACCTTTGCTTCTAAAATCAAAACATCAGGAAGCTATTTTTAAATATGGAGAGAAGTCAACATTTCACTAGCAGAATTATTCTTTCAATGGAAGCCCCAAAGAGCCAGCATAGATAACTGAAGAGAAACATTTAACTCGAAGTGGTAATTAAAATAGACTGTGATTATTCTGCTCTCCAGTTTTCTAGTTAACATTAACCAAAGATGCTTACCATGTCCTAAGTGAAAGTCTGGGTATATCCTAATCTTTGCATGTGAATCTAACAGATTAACTTGAAAAAACGTGATGAATTTGGTTGCCTGGAAGAAATGCACCCATTCCTGTAGTGACGTACAAGCATACAGGATTGTGTGGACCACCAAGAGCAAGAATGCCCCACCAGTGATGGGTATTTTCTGCTTCTGCCCCACCCCCACTTAAAATTCTTCATATGCATCCAGTGAGTTATTGGTCTCCATTTGCACTTCTTGCATAATATAAAACTCACTGTACAATTGAAGACACTTATTTCTGTGTTGTATTGCATTTGATTACAATGAAAATGTCTGCTGGGGTTTTCAGGATGAAGTAATTTAGAATAACAGTGTTCATGCCATATGGAAGGAATAACAATTTCTTTCGGTTCTGGGAAAGATCTCTTTTTAGCCCCTAGTGGAAATCAGCTTGTGTAAAAATGCTTTCTTTAACAGAAGGTGTGAAAGGATGTATCGTATTCCCAGCGGCCAGCCAATCAATCTGTAGCTCGGCCACCAGGCTTTGCTCTGCCTTCTGGAAACAGGCACTTCAGCAGCTTGACTTTCGGTGCCAGTGGATGCCGTTCCATCATCTCTGCCTCGCCAGGGAAAATGCATTCCATCTACTGTGGTAATGGAGGAGCTCTAAACATACATGTTTTCAGTGATGGAACATAATCCAGTGGTTTAAAGCAAGACCCATTTCTCTTGTTGCTATTGAATGAGTAAGGAATTTCCAATGAAATCATGAGATTTTTTAGATTTTTATACATAGAGAGGAACAGAAACATGTTAGATTTCTCTTGGAGAGAACAAGTCCAAAGGGTCTCACCATCACGTGCTTGAAGGACTGCCGCTCAATTTGTCAGATCCTTTACTGAGCACAGCCGATCGGCTGCACAGCACACCTTTGCTCTTCACGTGCTCAGAACCCAGTTTAAGATCTCCTTCGGCTTCAGCTGTTTTGCCTCCTCATCCTGCTGCCACCTAGACCAGACCAGCGATCTCCTTACATTATCCTACATTTTGCTCCATCTTATGTTGCAAAGCCTTCCACCAGGGGCCAAAAATGCTCACACAACCCTAGATGGTCTCACCCAACAGTTCCTAGTCTTAGTGCTAGTTCTGGAATAAAAAAGAATCCCATTTTGGCTCTGCAACATGAGACCATCAATAAAATACTTAAATGGGTGCTCTAGGTCCTGTTTCTGTTTATTCAAGGAAAATTTACCAAAGAATGAATTTTTTTTACAGAGCTAAATAAAAGCTGTTATTTTCTATCCACTGCTCTTGTTAACAGCATTGGTAATTTGGGAATCTGGTGCTAGGGAACTGCAATCCAGGACCATTCGTCCACAGCCAGAACCTGTACAAGTTGATACAACAGAAAATTGCGCAAGGACTGGCATGCATTATGTTCTCCAAAATATTATTTGTAACCTTCTTAACTTCCTTATAATCAATCTGACCAGGTAGCAGCCACCAGTATTTTCCAGGTATAATTTAGTAGCAATTGGAAAATCAGGAACAGAGAAAACACTCCTATATACCAAGAACAACTTTTCCTTTAAGTCTTAAGTTCTCTGGCAAAACTGTCTTAGAAATCAGAATTCGTAACTGTTTTAACACATTTTGAAAATCAATTTTGGTTTAGGAAGTTAGAATTTTGAGAAATGCTCTTGAGAGTCTTGCTTTCTGACCTTGTAATCAGTGTGTTCATCAGATTAAGACCTCTTAGTTTTATCAGAATTCACACAATGACACATACCCTGGCAAATGAGCTCAAATAGAATAGGCAACATGCCCTCAAAGTCTTATTTATAATTACCACCAGCTTGGGAATTTAAAAGTATTCTCTCCATTGTTTTTTTTATCAATTGTTCCAATCCACATTCCCAAATCCAGATTATTAGGAGCAGAGGTTCCTAACCTGTATTTAGGTAATAAGGCCTTTTGAGAATTTGATGGAAGTCAGGGATCATCTCTAAGAAAAATGGATATGCCCATAATTTTGTACCTACACAGGGCAAGTTTAGCCCCATGAAACCCATCCAGTAATCTGTGGGTAGGAAGCCTGTGGCCAGTCTTATCAAAGTACTCGTGCCGCCTCTTACACCAGCCATCTTAGTTGGCCCCACACAATAGAGGATGTGTCGATCATAAGGGGTTCCTGACACTATAGGATTCACAGAACAGTCAGGCCCACACACCTGCACAGCCAGAGGCTTCCCAAGCAATCTCATAATAGCATAGAATTCTAGTACAGAAGCCATCAGAAAGGCAGTATCTTCCATAACTTTGCCCTTGGTGGATTAATTTGTGCTGTGCTCTTACTACTCATTACAGCTACCTTTTTGAGGGCATTACTTTGCTGGGAACTCCACAAGGCATTGTAAACATTTTTATTTCATCTCCCCACCAGAATACCCCCATATTGGGATGCATCATTACCTTCATTTTATAGGTGTTAAAATGTCTTCATTGAAGTCACATGGCTCAGTTACTCAGCAGATTCAAATACCCATCTGTCAGATTCTGAGACCAGTGTTTTTGAAGCAAAATTTCACATTATACAACTTGAGGCTGCTGTAAATCTAACCTGGCATCATAACTATACCTAGGGCCAGTGCTTTTGATCATGTGGCCAAGGGTCAGAAGTTGGACACCCAGGAATTGTCAGATGGCCATGTTCTCTTCTGGAGCCAACTCTCCACCAGGGCCTAAATCCAGCAAATACATGAACAGGTAAACATAAGGATCCATGCAAGTCCACACTGACTTTCGAAAAAATAACCGATGTATGTTCCCTACTGTTACTGTCTCAACAGTGACATTCACATCTCCTCGCCTCTAATGCAGGTGTGTTAGACTGTAGTGGAAAATGACTACAGAACCATACAAGGAAGAATAATGTATTCTCTCACAACACATGGACATTTTGTTTACTATGGGGCTTTAATTTTTTAGCCTTTTATTATGGAATATTTTAACAGAATGATACAATAAAACTTCACATGCCATCACCTGGCCTCAGCAATTATCCACTCATGGCCAAACTTGTTTGCTCTAAACCGAGACTCACTCCTCCTTCCCCCAAGTTATTTTGAATTCTTAATTGCTTGATGTTCTCAGATATCAAATAGTTTTATCCGTAAATAAGGAAAATAACGAAGTCCATGCCAGGCATTAGTCATGGCTCCATGCTTCCTTGCAGGAGCCCTGGTGATAATTATTGCATGAACTGTGGTCTTTGCAATGAGTAATCCCACAGTGTATCATAAAGGAAACCAGAAGCTACTCACAGGTGGTGAAATACCAACATCTACCGACTCCATCCATTTTTAAAATAACCTTATTTTATATCCTGTGGCCTATGAAAATGCATTGCTGTTCCCTGTTGTTTCACACGACTGCTATCAGGCTTATATGAAATACCTGTAAAACCCCATGCAATGAAAAGGAATTACTGCTTATCACCCCAAAACTGTATTGCTTTTGACCTAAGATAAACAATTAGCTCATGGACATGTTGCCTCAGCAAGCCTTGTTGATCTTTCATATTCTGTCATTTGGGGTTCTGAAAGCTCAGTTTACAGATGACATTTTAATATCTTGAGAAATGTCTTGCAAGAAATATAAATACTTGTATTAAAATTAAAAATTAAAATGTCAAAATTAAAAATAACAGCCTTGCTGCTGAGGCCACATGTGGCATTTATCATCAATTGTTCCCCGCTGCTCTTTGGGCTCTAAGACCCATCAATGTTTTAGATGTTTTTGGGGCCCCAAGCCCTGGGCTTGCTACCTCAGTAAACAAAACAGGGCCATAAGCAAACACAGTGTTCCCTATTCCACTGCAGCTGTCCTAGACACCCTTACTTCCTACCACTGTCATTTTATCACTGCAAGTATGAAAGGGTATGGTTCTCAAAACACCCTGACAAGACCTATCTCCGCTTGAAATATGAATGTTATACATACAAGCTTTCTGATGAGAAAGACACTTGCAGAATCACATTTGGTTCCATAATATTCTAAGGCTTGGCTTACTTACATAGGCTTCTCCAGAGAGAAAGAGTTGTTTTTGTAACGATTCTACCGAAAGTGAGAAAGACCTTTCACAAGGTGTGGATAATTCAGTACGAACAGATCTCAGGAAAGACAGTTATGCAAGTAACACTCAACATGCTTGCTTTAATTAAATAACTAGGGAGAATAATTCTACGTAACATTTCAAATGGAATATATACCCTCTTGGTCACATGCTGTATAGTGTTTTTAATGTTTAAAAGAAAAGTCAGCATTTAATCTGATTCATCTCAGCAAAAGCTTCACAAGGAACCATCCCAATTACACACGGATGCAGCCTTGAGCAAAGTCGGTTCTGATGCATTTAGGCCCAGTGGACAGGAAAGCAAAACATGCAGCAGACGAGCACGATTCAGATAGGACAGCTAAAACACCTCCTGAAAGCAAAACAAAAAACGCACAAGGAAAACAAGCAACAGTATCCCTTGGAGAATTTGTAAAAGCTGGGGTGGATTATGTAAGGAGGCAGAAGGAACCCAGCATTCTAAACATGAGATTTACAAACTTCCAACAGCATGTTAGCCACTGGACATTGCTGATGCTGACAGCGGCATCAAGTTATAGAAGATCTGAATGACAGATTCTTTAAACACTACAAAATATTATAAAACTTCTGACTGAAAATATCACTTGACTTTTTTCTTAAAATACCTTTATAGAAAAAGAAGTGACAAGTTTAGAGAATAAACAAACTTTATTTTATAACAGTATTACAGAAAGCAAAATATCATTTAATACAACTTGAAGCTGTTGTATATCTAATCTGGCATCGTAACTATACATGGGGTCAAAAGCAAAGGAAAAACATTCAACACAGTTAATAAGTCCCTATCAGGTTTCTGGTGTCAAGCTTTATATGGTATAGCTTTCTTGTAACCATCAAAAAAACCACCACAGCCCCTATTCCTCTCCCCAGTGTCCTCAAACCTGTGTGAATTACCCAACTATCTGAGAGATACAAGTAACAAGAAGTCAGTTTTACATGTACACAAGGAGGTTTAATACAAAGCAAGTGTTCTACGCAAGCGTTCAAATAATGTTAAGTATTGAAATTTGGACATGTTAAGAAAGAAAGCACTAAGGTTTTAAGCTGCCTGAATATTTTAGTAGAAGGGACGAAATTGTTTCCTCTCTCATCCCTCCTGTTTCTGGAATGCTGCCGAAGAGCCCATGTCCGAGAAGCATTGGCACTGTGGTGCAATAGGGTCTCTAAACACAGTGCAAGGTCCGCAAACTTCTTCATAATTCTCCAGTCTGGAGATTCTCTGACTTTCTACTGAAAGTAAAAGTCACAGGACTGGAAAGTCAAAAGGGTTCAATATAAAAAATACCCCCAATTAAATTCTCTAACATTAGAAAATTTTCAAGGTGTAAGAAATGCTTTTAATCTGTATTATTATTATCTCATACAGTATATTTACTGCAATCTGAAAACTCTGTAAATATTTACTGTAATAATTCAATGGGAAGGATCTGGAAGAAGGAAAGCCACTACCTAAATTAGAGTTTCCTTTCCGCACAACAGCACCTGTTCAAGTGAACAGCACCTTACCAGCTTGGGCTGGCTTTGTTCACTATCATTTGATCAAAATGAGTCATAAAAAGCAGGTAGTTGTACACAAAGTCAACAGGGAAAAAAAAAACCTCCCTAATTTAAAAAAAAAAAAAAGAACAAAGACTATTTAGAAGTGGTTATAAAACAAAACAATATATTAAAATGCAGTGGAGCGGCATAGACCAGAGCTGCTAAGGTGAGGTCTGGTCTGGTGTCAGCATTTTCTTCCTTCAGGTCACTGTTACGAGTCGTGATAGGAATTCGCAGGAATAGTGGTGTGGCATGAAGACTCGGGACGGTCAAAATTCTTAAGGTTCACCAAACTGAATGCTGTTTTAAAAAGTGAATTCCTAGGAGGAAAAAAAGAGAGGGCTTAAATATTCCAAAGACAGAAGCTTGAAAAAATAGATAAGTAGTGTTCACTGAATTCCAAATCAAGCAATCAACAGTTACTGTCTGCTTCGTTCTACAGTAAGAAGTACATTTATCAGAAGACACACATGAGAGTCTGTTCCACCCTCAAGGGCCTTAAAATATCTGGAAAATTGACGAGCACACTAGAAACAACTGGCAAATCAGCACCCCAAAAAAAGAGGTCATTATGAAACAGAGATACTTCGTAGAGTACACAGCTAAAAAAAAAAAGAAACTGACGCAGGTTTTAAAGCTAGATTCAAGGAGAAAACCAAAGTCAACTTTGACTTCACTGAAATGAACAGAATGGGTGCTTCAGGCGGGAGGGCAGAATGAGGACAGGGCAAGGAAGTGAGGAAGTGCAGGACAGAAATGGACGTTACTGAAGCTGAGTAATGGAAGGCAAGGGAAAAAAATGTTAGGGCTACTCTGTAATACTAGACTGAGAGGTATGACATTGACCTAATCCACAAAAAAAAAAAGAATGAATTCAGAAAAAGCATTCAGACAAAATACAGACTGTCAGTCTACTACTACAAGGATAAAGAGTAGAGTGCAGGAGGCAGGGCACAGGGCAGAAAGTCAGGGTTGGTGAGGGCACACAGGGCATGACAAGCCCAGGAAAGGAAGAGGTTGGTCTGATTCCCATTTGGTTTTGAGGGAAGTCTGACATGGCCTGATTTATGGTTTGAAAGCATCACTGCAGCTTCAGTGTGACAAACAGACCAAAGGTGGGGTGGAGCAAGAGAGGACACCAGTCAGGAGGCCACTGGAGCAGTCCACACTCCATGAGGACAATGACAATGGTCAGGGGTGACTGCGACGTGGCGAGGATCTGAGTGGATGCTACAGCACCCAGGTGGGAGACAGGCCTTGAGAGACACCAGGGAAGGAAAAAGACCTGAGGGTGGTGAGACTAGAAGGAAGCACCAGGAAGACTCTCAGGTTTGGAGGCCCGGGTGACGTCTAGGTCTAGGGGTGTAGATTTGCAAGTTGGCACAAAGGGGCAAGCGAAACCAAGAGATTAGTCTCACAGGAGTTTAAGGGAAAATAAAAGACATGAACCTTGGGCAAGCCTACAATCAAAGGCAGGTAGGTAGGAGAGAGGACTAAAATAGGAGTGGAGAGAGAGACAGGCAAAAAATAAGTATGGTGTTTAGTCCCTGAAAAAGAAAAGGGTTTTAAGAAGGCAACTGTGTTCACTTTCTGTTTCAGCTTGATGGAAGTTTTGGCAAATGACAGGTGATTACAGAGGACAGTGGAGAGTCGTAATTAATGTCCTTTCCAAGAGACAATGATCCCAAAGTCAATTAGAATAGACTCTCTTTTTGTTAGGTAAAATTAAGTCTTGTTTGAATGAAAAAACTCCCCACCACTTAGATTTATCACAGATATTATAGCCTCTTGATTATGCAAGACAGGATGATTAATCAAATTCATTGTTTCCCACCCAGTTGGCTGCTTTAGGCTACTTCATTACTTATTAGTACTTCTGCCTGATTCTAGGCAGGAAAAAAAGAAACAATGGCGAAAACACAAAGTTGTCTCTTTTTAGGTTAGTAATTATAAATGTGGGAGATGGTGGAAAGAAACGGGTAAAAGTATCCATTTGGATTTGAAAGTTATCTGGGACCTCCAGTCCTTCTATCCTTGTTCTCTGTGAGCAGGTGGTTCTGTTTTCTTTGCTTAGTGAATATGCATCATTTGTTGAACTCAAATGCCATGTTGCTAGCTTACGTTATAGAAAATGAACCCCTGACATTACCAATGCCTGGAAACCTCAGAAGGAACTGGGCTTAGGATTCTATTCTCCATTTCCTCTTGGCTTCATATCACATTATTTCACTGAATCTGTTCTCTCCAAATATAAAAAATTTCAATTTTTTAAAAAAAAGTTAAAATTAAACTTATTTTAAAGTTATCAATAGACAAACAGGAATCTAGGAATACACAAGAATTGAATGAAAGAGATCCTGATTTCAAAGAACTTCAACATTTATGGAAATACATATAGAGAAAAAGAAAGTTACCATGTAAATCCAAATATCATTTACATTCATTTATTTTCAATCAAACCACTGGAAAGTAAAATCAATTCTTCTTTCTGGCAACAAATATTATAAATGACAACTTTAATGTGCTCTTAGGATCCCAAACAGCTTTCAGAATCAAAGGAAATTACATTTATTGTAATTTTTATGTTAAATGCATTTTTTTCTCATTCTCTAAGACGCAGTAAATCAAGTGTAACTCTGAGTTAATTAGATATTCAATGTATCAGAAAACTCCAGTTCCTTGTTTTTAGACGAAAACAGAGTAATTTATTAGATCAAGTTTTTAACTTACATATCCCACCTTTCCTTTTTTGACTGTTCCTTGCACTTAAACACATACAGAAATATATTCCCAAGTAGTGAACATCTAGCTTTTGAGGTGGGAAGGAGAAAAGACGAGGCCGGAATCCCCAGTACCACTGGCATACAAGCATCAGACATTTAAATGTGTCTGTCCTTTTGGCACGTGTCTGTGAGATAAAATACTAAACATGCGGCCATTTTTAACAGACTACATTTTACATCTAAATGACTTATCACATATCCCTATCAAACTGAAAACTAGGCACTGGCCCTTCATTTAAGATCCATAAGGTTTTCATTTCTTTCTTTAAAGCCTGAATTCTACCTCATGTTCACAAAAGTCTGGACATCTTTATTTTGTCATCACAAATTGATAGCATTAATTATTAGTACTAATTCAACCTGTACAATTTCTTTTTTTTCCTCATTTTTTTTATTGAAGTATCATTAATATACAAGCTTACATTAGTTTCAAGTATACAACACAGTGGTTCAACAGTTACCATATTATTAAATCCTCACCCCCACTAGTGCAGTTACTGTCAACACAGGAAGACACAATCATTGGCTATATTCCCCATAACCAACTTACTATATGATTGAGGGTATTTGTGCCCCTTTATCCTTCTCAGCCTCCTCACCCACCCATCCCACCCCACCCCCCCATGGTAACCACTAGTCACTTCTCGGGGTCTGTGAGTCTACTTCCTTTTGTTCATTTTGTTTTGTTTTTAGATTCCACAAATAAGTGAGATCATACGGTATTTGGCTCTCTCTGCTTGGCTTATTTCACAGAGCATAATGCCCTGTAGGTCCATCCATATGACAACATGGCAGGATTCTCTTTTTATGGCTGAATAATACTCCATTGTATATATACACCACATTCTCTTTATCCATTAATCTATTGGTGGGCATTTTGGTTGCATCCTCATCTTGGCTATTGTAAATAATGTGACAATAAACACAGGGGAACATGTATCTTTTCCAACTAGGGATTTTGTTTTCTTTGGGTAAATTCCTAGAAGTGGAATTATTGGGTTGTATGTTATTTCTATTTTTAGTTTTCTCAGGCACCTCCATACTGCTTTCCACAGTGGCTGCACCAATTTACATTCCTACCAACAGTGCAGGAGGGTTTCCATTTCTCCACATCTTCACTAACATTTACTATTTCTTGTCTTTTGGATAGTGGCCATCCTAACTGGTATGAGGGAAAAATCTCATTGGGGCTGCTTTCACTTCTGACAATGTCATAATATTCACCTTAAGTCTGATAAGATCAGAGTTGTAAAGCATATGGATTATACATTATATTTAGAATTTTGGTCAAATATACAAAAACAAAAACCGAAACCAGTTTCCATGCCTTGGTTTCTCACCTCTAGACTATACAATGTCAGTCAACATTTTTTAACTACTATAGTCACATCCCCTAGCCTGTGTCCCCCTCTTTTGGCCAATGTGGGAATAGGTCTAATTCTATGTCCAATACGGCTGTTTCAACTAATCACTGGTCTAATTCTATGTCCAAATTCTTCAAGGATACATACATGTCAGTTGCCTGTAGCCCTAAGTCTTCATAGGAGGTTCTGAGTATTTTTAAATCTATCTTTCTCAGTGTGCCCAATGAGCAGTGGGAAATCAGCTAGGTTCAAGCATACAAGTTCTGTGACCTCACCTGAGAACACAACCTCAAAAGTTCCCAAAGACAGTGGCTTACACAGTAGGTCTTGAGTGTGCTCTACTCTAGAAATTGATTAAGCATCTGACACAAACCACTAGAATATTGCCTTTAAGTGGTAAAGCACTCATCCAGAGAGGAGCCTCAATAAATATGCAGAAACTGAGGTTTTCACCCAAAATAATAAAAATAATGAAAGAAAACACAACACTTCTTCAGATTAAGGAAGATTCAATTACTGTAGCATAGTAATAATAGCCCGGGATCTTGAAAAACACCTATAAAATAAGACACAATGCAACTATTTTCTAAATAAAAATGAGGTCTGTGCACGTAAGAGCAAAGTTCAGTTGTATTTACAATAGTTTACAGATTTCAGGTATTTCTAATGCTGAACTTTCATGCTATTCTTGATTTTCAATTTGCATGTGATTTTACTTTTTAAGCAAAATCTCTATTATAAGATATGAGTCCTAGAGCCAAAAATGCCAAGTATGATACATGTCCATTTGGTCACCACAGGAAACAGTCAATTCCTACAATGTTTGTATTTCCACTATCATAAGGCCCACCCATTCTCAAAGTGTGGTCTGTGGGCCCTGAGGGTTGCTGAGATTCTTTCAGGGTGTGGTGAAGGCAAAGCTATTTCTTAATCATACCAAGACATTACCTGCTGGGCTCAGGACGTTGACATTTTCACGACAACAGGGAGTAAACCTGCTGTAATCTGAGCACAGGCCAAGGTAGTGGCGTTCTTCAACCTTTTTTTTTTTTGTACCATAAGCCACTGTATCATCCACTTTTAGTGAAACTAGAGAGGCAATTTCACTTAAAAATGTCCTTGATGAAACAGAAAAAATTTTTAATTTTCTTAAATCTCAACCGTTGAAGTGTA